AAGATGTTGTTTTGGGTGTTGTTTCTCAAACGGCAACTGGGTGTCTTGCTAGATTTTGTAGTATAGTTTGGCCAGTACAATCTTCGAAAAAATTTGCTTTGCAAACTTTGCCTTAACGTCCGGTTTTTCCATTTTTTTTTACTATTCCAAAACGTAAACCCGTCAGAAATTATTTGCTAAAAAATTCAAAACATCGATTTTTCGATCAAACATTGGCGATTTTCGAAAAAAATTGAAATTCAGAAGCCGTTTCCAGGTCTTACAATCAGGGACGTAGCGTAATACAGGCCCCGGGGGCCCGGGGCCCCCCGAAATCGGCCGGGGCCCGAAAATTTCATAAGGGGGGACCCTTATGATTTTGATTTTCTCAAAAATTTTGCTGCCTGCGGCGCTATTTTTTCACATTTTTACGGCTATTTGTAGAGCTATGCAACCTTTTTTTCAAAAATTTTTGCCTGCGGCGCTGTTTTTTTGGCAATGTTTTGAGTTTTTCGGAAAAATTTTTTGGGGGCCCCCCCCGAAATTTTTTTCTGGCTACGCCCCTGCTTACAATAGATAAAGTTTATAAAAATACCATCAAAAACTGGATGTTACATTAAGCATACCTCGAATCATAGAAAATTACAGAACTTTTTACCGAATTTTTTAATTCTTTTTTCATTTTCCACCCCTCAATTGCAAGGAAAAGCAGCTTTCCTAGCGTCTTGACGCCGATTTGTGGTGTGACATTTTTTGCGCCCACTTCTGACCCGATGATTGACCAGCAGAAGACCCCCGGTGCTGCGGGCGGCTTCTCCTAACAGATCAAAAAAGAATTGTCGAGTGGCCCCCGGCGGCCGCCCCATCAACTTTACTCGAATCGCGCCAGACGGCTTCCACACTTTTTTTAGCGACACCCCGCTTGCTATTTGGGCTGATCTACGGTATTCGTGAAATTCCTAACATTCCTAACAATCTTAGTTAGGCCTATTTCCGAAAGTTTCACCCTTTCTTGCCAATAATAGCCGAAAAACGAGCTGTCGAGCTCACTAGCTAGGCGACTCGCTGGCGAAAAACCGCCACAAGAAAAAAGGAGAGAAAAATCGGCTCAATTTTCTAGGGAGGAGCAGCTGCCACGAAAAGCTGTGACTTTTCAGGACTAGTCAGACCTTTCAAATTCGCCTTTCCAGCTAATCATAAGACTTTACTATACCATCCCAACCTCTTCGATCCTCAAAAAAAACGATTTCACTGCCTGCGGGGGGATGCGACAGCCATCCGGGTGGTGAAAAGGGGGTTGAAGGTTTGGGTTACACCACTTTACGACACATTTCGCCCCTCAAAAACTATACGTTTCCCGCGACATCCTACGACGATTACCTAAGCCTAAGCATAAGCCTAAGCCTAAGCCTAGGCCTAACCTAAGCCTAAGCCAAACTTAAGTTCATTTCAAAAGCCTAAGCCTAAACCATGCCTAAGCCTAATTTTCCAAGCTTCCACATCCCTTTAGCAGTCAGAACAATTGGCCAGATCAAAAAAAAATTGAAGCGCCCGCCCCGAGCGCCGTATGCAAATTTGTTTGTGCGTCGGATGATCGGGGGGCCGGGGACTAGTTGGCGGCCCCCATTGAAGTGGGCCCTCGATGGAACACGTGATCAATTTTTTGGATGAATCAGCGGCGTGCGTGTATTTGCATTTTTGCCGTTGGTCCTAGGTTTTTGAATTGGAAAAAAGCCGACACCACAAGTCACCAAAAATTTAAACTACAATTTTTTATCGTACGGCATCCTGTATTTTCTATAGTTATCTCTCTCTCACTCTCACTCGCTCTCTCACTCACACTTTCTCTCTCCCTCTCTCTCTCTATCTGGCATCCGAAACTAGAATTCGCAAAAATTCTCGATGACCTGACGTTCTTGCCAGCTTCATCAAGTTCGGAAAGCCGACCGAATACCTGAAAATCAGATTAGAGGGTCATGGAAATGGGAAAGAGAGAGAGAGAGAGAGAGAGAGAGAGAGAGAGCTAGAGACTGTTTAGTGTGCAATTTTGACCCCGGCAACTTATGCCGATTCAGGTTCCGGGGGGGCGATGGCGGGTAGAAGAGAGGCTTATGGACCGTGACGTTTCCATCGTGCCCCTTGCCCGGTCGAGGCCACTTGTTTGGTCGCTACGCTTTTCCCTTGCCGCCCTCATCGTTTGAAACCATTTTTAAGCAGCTGTTTTAAGGCATTTTTAAGGCTTCTCGCCATTGTTGTTGTCTCCGAATTTTAGCATGTGGCGAATTTCAACATTTTAGTATGCATAATTTTTTTTCATGTCCGAATTATAGCCGCAACTTAGCTTAGACTTGAGAAACAATAATAATCAGTAAATTTTGCAACAATTCAAGGCAAATCTTTTTAATTATGTGGCGAAATTCAGCTTCCTCCTTTTTTCCTTGCCTAATGAATCAATTCCCTGGCTTGCCAGTCCCTTTAAAATACCCCATTCGTTCGCGATCACCCCTCACAATGACTACATGGGAACAAACTATCCCAAACAATCCGTTCAAAATCGGCGTCTGCCACAATTTTTACGTTGATTTCTGTTTACCGCGCTTTTCCCCGGGCAGTGCTGCAGCTACCACCAGCAGCTGCTAAAAAAAGCTCTGTAATCCACCGCGCACACAACGGCCAGACAATTTACGCCCACTACGCTGGGCATGGTTTCGTCTGGCGGTCCAGCTGGGAGGTATTGGACCTTTTGGAACCAGTAAATCTTCAGTTCAATTGTCTTCACATTTAAACGTCGGAAAACCCTCTTGGGCCGGTTTTCCGACTAAATTTTGTTTACACCTGGGTCGCTGGGCCCTAGAAGGGGGCCAATCACTAGCAAATATGTGCCAAAACCCGGCTAGTTTTGGGGTTAGTGTACTTAAAAAGCTTGGAAGAGAAGATTTTTCTATGCATCTGCTGCCAGCTTTTCGTTACTGTAGTTTTCTGCTTGCTACCTTTTTAACTTAGCAACATTTTCAAAATTCTTAAGGAGAGCGAGCGAGTGAGATAACGAGGGCGAGAGAGAGATGAAGTGACCAATTCAGCTCATATGCCTTCATTTTTGAATGGCACTGAGAAACCAATGAGCTTCTCAACCTGTTCTTTCAGTTCTAAGCCCAGATATCCCAGAAAAATAGTACGTTAGGTGCCTCTGTACATATCTACTGTACTCAGTCGTGAATAGTACTAAGCGTTCCAAATTTTGAAGATTCCTCTAAGGGCCGGCTTCAGAACGGCCTCCAAACTGGCGGGTGAAAAGCCGGCGTATTTGTGTGTGCCCTGTGATATGTGAGGGGGGATTGTGTTGCCGATGGCTCAGCGGCGGCTGGCCCTTATGGCCGGCCGGCCGATTCGCATGCAAATGCAGGGTAAACATCGGGGGCTTTCGCTCTCATTCTCTGCCCGTCTCTCTCTCCCTCCCTCTCTCTCTCTCTCTCTCTCTCTCTCTCTCTCTCTCTCTTCCCTCAAGATCCGGATCGAAAAACCCTTAAAGGGTGTGCGTATTCGGGGGTGGGCCCTCCAACGGCACCATGGCCACCCTGGCTATCGTGGCACCCAGCTGCCATCATCCGCGCGTGCATTTTGTAGTGGTTTGGAATATTTGCAATTCCAGTCGCTCAAATTTCAATTCATTACCACTATTCCCTTGCGTACAGGCAACAGTTGTCAAACGTACACCGTCAAGCCTACGGCTGCCTTATTGTGAGCCAATTTCATTTGCTCAGCAAAGCTTTCCATGCAATTTCCTTACTTACCAAGCCCGTTTAGCCAATTTCCGGCACTTTCCTATAAACGCCCCCAATAGGCTCGACTCCGACGGCGACCTTGACGCCCCCCATATTGTCCAAATTCACGCGGCCATTATGTAACGGGGTCAACTGATGGGGGTGGATTTGAGGTCTAGCGCCAGTTTGCAACCACTTACGATAATATTTAGCATATTATTATTTTAACTCTTCCTTGAATCGTACCAGCTGGCTTTCAACAATAGCGCAATACGTTTTTATCCCCGTTATTGAAAAGGCTATGCTAATCTATTCCTATATTTTAATGCATCACCTAAATTAATGTGGTAACAGCAAAGCTCTCCAAGAAACTTCGATGTCCTCTATAATACACTGAAATTCCAGATCCCTACTCGACGGCCGTGTGGCCCGCCGGGGCGTCAAAGAGCCGAATCTCGCGTTCGCAACAACCCCCAGTGGCCCGTGTACACCGAAGCCAAAGTGCCGGTAAACAACTTTAAAGTGACTTTTACTATTTTTATACCCCGGTAAGACATTCTAACGCACACATCTTAGTCTTACTTTAGTTCGAAGGCAATACCTAGGACAATCGCTGAGATGTACATAGATAATCATATTCGAGGTTCTTTCGCATTATCGGGGGGTTTACCAATTTTTTTTTGTTCGGATCTAATTTTTCCAATATAAATTGTGGCGGTGGTTCTAAATTATTTTTTTCACTGTTTCTAAACGTGTAAACTTTATAAATTATTGTTAACAAATATAAAATATATCGATTTTTCGACCAAAACTTCGATTTTTTCAACAATTTTTGATAGTTTTTGGATAGTTTTTCTAGGGGAAATATAGTTATGGATTACTAAAACACTACTAAAACACTTTCTATTAATTTACTAGGTATTTCAGGCTTGTACAAAAAGGTTTGCCCCCCCGATAATGCGAAAGAACCACATTCGAATATTCAAAAATGTAGCCTTTCTGATTCTTGATCAAATTTCAAACCCCCTATCCCGCCCACCAAACTTCCGTATCACCATCCCATTAATGCTTTCATTATCTCGCGCCTAACATCAAAGCCCCTACGCAGGTGCTAACCAACACATACCCCCAGGGCTTTTTGTGCCGGATGGGAGAGCAGAGGCGCATCAGCCATTCAGTGTTCTCCTCCCCATCCGCCACAAATTCTATTCACAATCCCCTGTGCCACTTCTCCCCGCCAGGCTTCTCCTCCCCCTAAAAATGGACATTGTCAAATTCCGCGCCAGTTTTCGCATGCCCCGGCGGATTCGGTTGCCCTTTATTCGCAGCTATTCCTTTGTTGACCGAGGTTTGTTTTGCGGGTAGATAAAACTTATCGTCTTGCCTGGCTTTCGATCTAATTTTTGAATCCAAAATCAACGGTTGTGGACGCCGAAAGCCTAAAAGGTATAATCTTTAAGGCTACAATTACCTTTAAAAAATTTCAGCTCTCAAATTATCTCAAAATCATGGTTTACACTTTTAACCATAGCAAAGTTTCATTTTAAAGCATCAGATACCTTGAAAAAGCCCAAAACTTAAAGTTTAATAGGTTTTTAAAATGTATAAAATCCATCATTAAAGTTCACAAGATTTTAAAAATGTTCAAATCCAGCAAAAACTTAATCCATGGGCTAAATATAACCATTCAAACCACAATACCACCTTTCAATCAACCCAATTTCTAGGAGCCGACGCAGCGCTCCGCGTCCAACCCGTCGAGATGCGGTCCCCGTTCACGCGATCCGATCCGAACAGCAATCAACCCGGAAACGTCAAGTAAGCCATCGAGTTCAGCAAGTAAATGAAAAACCTTTTTTTTGCGAAATTTTTTAAGCACAAAGTAAAAACCAATAAATTCCAGATTCCTCCGAGCCACGAAAAAATTCTTCAAAAAGATCTACTCGACGGCCACGCTGCCGAAGAAGCAGTCGGTGCCGAACATCACCGCCCCGGACGTCAGCCAGCTCGGCCAGAGCTACTATGACTTTAGGTAAAAATCAATACATTTCGTGGGTGTTCCTTGGCACTTAATTCAGGCTAAAGCCTAGTAGGGAGCCTAGGCCTAAGCCCGACTTGTGGTACTCTGATACAATTAAATATCAGTCCATCTATTTAGCTCGAGCTACCGCGAGCCGTCGCGTTTTGCCTCGGACGACTGCGATGATCCTTACACATTCTCCACCTATTGCTCAAACTACCGTAGCCCGATGGACACGTATCGCAACGAGCTGAACCTATCCACGTCCCTCCATTTCCCCAAGTATGCCGACAGCCAGCCGGATAGTGGTGTCGACGATCGGTAGGTGAAAGCACCAACTAAAGGGGCCGGGAAGCCTCAAAAATATTTCGGGCGAATTTAAAACACTGCGATTTTAGCTCGTCCACTCCCGACGAGTCGGTGGACTCGGTGGGGGCCTCGTCATCGTCTCCCACCTCGTCCAGCTCGCACTCCACGGCCTCGTCGAAGCTGGAGACAAGCCACGACGATTCGGGCTTTGCCCAGGTGCCCGTCAACGGTGACTGGAACAACGTGTTCGAGCAGTTGCGCCGAGAAATGGTAAGCCAAAGCGGAGCGAGATAAGCTTAATTTTACTTTTTTTTCACCTAAAAAATAGTATTTTCGTATCAATTCATTATTATTTTGCGTAAGTATCGGCTTAAATGCCATTGTCAACTTTCAGACACTTATGCGAGAACGAGATCAACAAATCCTGGCGGACCTGCACAAGGTGGAATCGCAGCTGAAGAGCGTGCGCCTCGCCTCGCAGTACGGCTTTGACGATAAGGACGGCCCGGTGCCAAGTATGCCGATATAAGCTCGCATTCATCGTGACCTACTCATTGCTGTTCAAACGGGTATCTACTTCCAAATGTTTATCTTCTAATATCCCCCTTCTTTTCTCCTTTCCTTCCTCTTCTATTTCATCCGGTCATGGATTGAAAAGCCGGTCGATTCTCCAAATCTTGTTGATCCACGAAACGCGATTTGCCTTTAGAAAAACGATAATCTTCAAAGTAAAAGGGAATTCGCGATTCCAGGTCAAGCCCATACCGTTGTATTTTCCGGGACTAGGAAAAGCCGCGGAAAGATTTTTGGAGAATGCTACCTATTTTCCCGTCTAGTTTCGGTCGCTAAATTGTATTGCCTTGCGCGCACACGCCAATCGGTGACCTACGCCCCCACTGAATCTATCTTTGCAGTATTGTGTATTTTTACATTGAATGCTCATTGGAAAGGATTATTTTATCGCGATAAATAATGTATTTGTGAAAGGCACCGGAGAGAAAAGGTTAAAAACAGGAAATGGGAAACAACATGAAAAAATATCCCTTCAAAGCAACGATACCTGACATAATATACACTTTTGATTTTTAATCACAAAATCATACGACGGTTATATTGCGCTCCGTTACGCGAAAAGCCAATAATCGCTGAGATTCCCGCGTCTCTACGGCCACCTTGCAATTCGTGCCCCGCAGTATGTCGGCGTGATCCTCGACGCGCAAGTCCACAGCTGAATTGGCGGCGAGAATTCGGAAAGCTGGGCAAGGGGCGCCTGTCGACACGAACACGTTCCATTTAGAATCGCCTAAAAACCGTGGTATTTAAAACTTAAGACCCGGAAGCTACCTTCAGACGCTTGTTTGGCTCGTTGGCATAAGGAGAGTATGTGACTGACGAGTGGCCGAGTTTCGAGACCATAGGCTTCTTGGCAGAGCGAGAGTTCGTCCAGGAAATAATTCGAGCAGCCAGGAAGTTCATCCTGTAAAAACGATATTCGTTTTTATAAAAAACCCTCACCTCTCGGTCCAAGTATAATTGTGGATCTGCCACAACAACAATTTGGCCCGGGACGTGTCGAATGCCATATCGTGTGCACAGGTCGAGGAGATCCCGTTGGCGGATCGCTCGACTCAAGACGATCATCTTCTGGCGATCGGTGACGACTTGTCGAAGGACGTGTAGAAGGAGCACGTGTCCTGTTTGAACCGCGTCATCCATCACAGTGACTAGACCCGACGGGAATATATTCATCCTTAAAAAACAACTATAAATGTCCAAAAGGCTACAGAAAGCTGCAACGTCCCGTCGTAGAAATGAATTCAAGGCTACGTGACCTCAAGAATTTTAACTCTAACGACACTCAGATATCCAAGCTTTGTTTATTTCACAGTTTCAATCACAAACAGAAAACACAATGAAAAACGAATAAGGTACGGTAAAAAAATTCTTGGGCGGACGGTGATCTTGGCTTTAATCAAAGCGCTTCTGTCCTGTCAGCGACATCTGGAAGAAAGATCAATTTGCGGGTGCTTCGAAACGCACTTACAGGCCGAAATTCCCGTTGCGCTCAACCGACCAGCCCGCTCCATTTGATAAAAGACATAATTTTTCGGGAAGGGATCCCACGGATCGACGCTTTGATGTGCATACCGCGATCGTCAGTGAGCAACACGACGCCGCGACTCTCGATGTGAGCCCCTTTCGGTATCTGGTCACGTAACTAAAATATAGAAAATCTTCAAAATTCAAATCCAGCATACCTTTTCCGCATTGAAGGGTGGCATAAAGAGATCCTCAGCAAACAACGCGCACGATTCGACGATCAGGTCGTCGTTGATCTAGGATTTCACAATTTTTAATGTAATTCTTCATTTCACAAATTTGAAGTACTAGTCTGCAATCTGTACACACCTGATAGGTCTCCGAGGGCTGCTTCTCTTCGGTGGTGCTCATCAACTGGATCCGCACCCCCTGTTTCGTCAGTAGGCCAACATTCTTGGGACGAGTCTTGTAGAGTCCCTGAAAATTTACAATTCAATTGGGAAATGGAGAACCCAAACCTCAATCCATCGCACGGCTTTCTTGGCTTGTGCATTGACGTAGAGAGCTTGAGTTCGCGAGGTGACTTCTTTGACAGCCAGAGAAAGTCCAGAAAGTTCTTGAATAACTGAAACGACGCCCGCTTTACGTTTAAAAGCGGATCGATGCGGCTTACCAACTGTAGGGATGAGCAGCGTGTATCTCCCCGAATTGATTATCTTTTCGATCCACTGCAGATGATCAACAAACGCGTTCGTGTCAGGGACAATCTAAGAGCCTGAATTATCAGATAAAGCCAGAAATTGAAACCTGGGTCGGTTTGACGACGATAAACGTATTTCGTAGCTTCTGCTCGTAGCTGGTCAACTGCTCACGCGTGCTCTTTGATTCGCTGGACCGTCTTCTTTCAAGAATAAGGCCCGGGCCCGCTTCTTCGATCTCAGCGGCAGGTGTCGGTATGAAAAACCTGTCAAAAATAATATCCAAAAATTAACGTAATAAAACCTACTCCTTATTGCTCGTGTCATAGTCGAGGGATGACGTACCCAACTCGACAAAAATATGTGCAAGCTGCGCCACAGAGGCCAGCCGAGCATGAAGAGCGATCAGATCCTGTGGCAAACGTTATTAGGGGATAAAAAGAAAACCTACCGTGCCATCTCCCTGTCGGCCGGCGACCTCGGTGATCTTAGGTGGATGGGGAAAGACATCGCAGAATGACGCGACAAGGAAAAGCTCAGGCATGTAGACCGCTATTTTTCCTAAAAACACTTCAATATGTAAGCAACCTTGTACCGGAATCTGAAGGATAGAGAATGCGACGAATCTTGCGATCCTGGAACAAGTTTGCCGCGTTCGCCAAGTTGGACCAAGCATCGAGGAAAGGCATCGGCGACAGTGGCTCGAGCTGGGAAAGCGTAAATTAAATAGACCTTCAAGGTACCGTATTAGAAGATCCGAGAATCCTACGCCCGATTGGATTCGAGAAAAATTGGGCAAGCAAAAAGACTGACGGCATCGGGACTCGAACCTGGAAGATTTTAGCTATCAAATCAGAGCAAATTTACAGGGCGCGGTGCTTCTTCGTTTTCGGAGAGCCACTTGACGATTTGGGGGACATTGCAGCCGGATAGTGGTTGTAGCAAGACGCCCAGGTAAGTGATGATGAATTGGACGGATAGCTGATGCGGTACGGTGATCGTTTCGGCGCCTGGATTGAAATAGAATTATCAAAATTCTAACGATTCCAAAACTCACATTTGCTCTCACAGTTCACCAAGACATAGATGAAAATCGCGGTGACTTGGGAGAGTTGGAGCGCGGTTAGCGGGGACCCCGGCTGTTCAAGGGCCACAATCAAATGTACGAGCATCCGAGTCGAGACCTAATCGGATGAAAACTAGTTGAACTAGCGCAAACCGAAAGGAAATTCTCGAGGCTGAGCTTTTGCAGCAACATTGTCGCGACGGCGAGGGCGTATTGAACGAATCTCTCGGATAACTAAAAAATACAGAAAAGGCCCAAAATAATTCACCGTAGCGGTAGGGAGGTTCCGAACGAGCTGCAACAGATTTTCCGCGCTCTCATCGTCCTCGTCTTTTCGATCGCCGTGCCCATCATCTCGTACCCAGATCTCAACCGAGCGATCTTTTTGGAAGGCGATCTCGGCCTAAATTTTGCGATTCAGTTTGATCCGATCAAATCATATTCACCTCGCTTTTGATCCGGCCCAACTGCTTGTTCATCGCCTCCTCGTGCTCTTCAATTTTTAACAACACCTCGCTGAGTCTAAACAAAAACTATCAAAAAATCCAGCAATCTACCGCTGATTCATTCGCTCATCAGTAGCTTCGAATGGATGCAAGCAACTGAGGGCTCGCATAGAGAAAAACATTTCGTCGAGCAGTCTTTTCTAAACAAAAATTGAATAATTTATTTCATTTCTTACGTTGGCGACAGATAGAATCGCCAGCTGATTGTATGCGTGCCCGGTCTCAGGCCAGAATTGGACGGCTCGCAGGTAGCAACTAAACACAAATTCAATCAAAGAACCAAATCTTACGCCTTCGCTCTAGAATACGAATCATTCTCCTCCCCGCCAGCAACATAGCGATTCAGGTTTCCAAGCGCGAGAAAATGACGGGATAGCGATCGAAGAATACGCTAAAAATTTGCTTATTACGGCATCAAATCAAAAGAGAACCAACCTTTTGTTTGGCTGTATATTCCTGTCCTGGAAATATTCCATCATGCGCGGCTCGCAAATCGTCGGCTGGCAATCCACCCTTCCAAAATAGTGATTTGGAGATCGACAGCTTGTATTCCTTCTCATAACTTCCGATAAGTCGCTTGTAAAATGCCAATCCCTAAAAAAACCTATACGGGCCAAATAAAGGGCTTACCTGCGATAGAAATTGCTGAAGCCATTTCGCAAACGCCCCGGAGGCCGCTCTCTTTAGCCCAGCAGCTGTAAAGAAACAAGTATTAACTTCAAACATAAAATACCTGTCCTCAGCGCGTTGATTAGTCGGTAAAACGCTTGGCGAAACAATTGCGTTTCAATATTTTCGCGATAAGAATATTCCACATCGATGTTTAGTATCTCGAAATAAGTGTCAGCCAACTCGAGGCTGAAAATGAGCCATATTTTGAGAAAAATATACAAAAAACCTCAACGAGATGGCTTCCTTGGACGCGCTCTCCTCGCCGCCAGTGATCCGGGAGAGTTGTTTGTTGAGGGTCTGGTTGATCTAAAATAAATAATTTTGCAGGAAAAACAAAAAGCAAACCTCGTCCATTCGATCTCCATACTTTCGGCGGACCTCATCGGCAATTTCGCGGGTGCTGCGCTTTTGGGAGTCGGGGCCAGCTTGAGTGACATCATCAGCGAGCGAATCATCAGAGGGCTTTGAAATCTTGGACATACAACGGATGGTCGAGCCCTAAAGCTCGAGTATTTTTGGCGGAAGTGTGTGTTCGCGAGGATGGAAGAAAGGTCACAAGTTTGACAGCCAAAAAAAGGTGGTATCAGTCAGCAATTAGTGACCCCGAAAAAAGGAGAGGCGCAGAGCGTGCCTACGATTCCATAAGAATCGCCCCTGTGGAGAATTTTTTGCTTTAAAGGTATCGTGTATACTACTAGTAGTAATAATTGATACCGATAAAGTTGATCAAGCCTTCAAAAATTATATCTATCATTCTGTTCGATCAATTAAATAAAAGGCGAAAAACACATGAATCTGTACTGCTCCGAGACTAATAAAATTTTATTTATAACCGTTCAAATACAAGAGAGCAAAAAAAAATAGCACACGTCGATCACAGGAGGGCTAGAAATCACAACGGGGTAAGTATGATTTGGCATTTTATTGGACGGGAAGCCGGATGCTAACAAATTACTAACAAACTGAAAATTTTCGATGCTCTAAAAATGTAATCCGTCAATTTCGGTGATCAGTTTTCGAATGGGTCGCGGGCAGAGACGATTGCGAGGTGAATTTCGAGGTTGAGGCCGCCGGGGATGTATTCGAGGAGTCCGTAGAGGATCGGGACCAGCTGTAAGAATTCACGTTTGTAAAAAGCTACTGTTTCGCTTCTAGAAGCAAACTTTTAAGGTATTTTAAGACGAGGCGGTCCCCACCTGATCCATTGATGACACATATTGATCGCGCTGCTGCTCGAGGCCTTCCCAAGGAGCAATGTCCATCGAGACGTCTTGGTCGCATACTTCCAAACGGATCGCTACGCTCCTGAAAGCCTCGTGAGTTATCTCGGTAGGAAACGCGTTTGAGGAACGATTTCTTCTTTTTAGTTCTAAATCTCAAGAACCTAAGATTGAAGGAAAACTCACATTTGGCCGATCGAAGTCAGTGGCTGCACAAAAGAATCGAGGTGCTTCGTGGCCTCACGCGCCAACATCTCAGCGACACTGAACACCTTGGCCTCGTCGTCCGGGGCGATACGGTCGTCGCCGACGTGGAACACGTGTGAGAGGCGCACGGCGTACTCCGGGCTTGCACACACCTGAAAATTTGCATTTACGGGCGCTACGAAGACAGACGGCCTTTTGATCATTCTTTTTGCAAATGTTCATACCTGAATCGATGTGGAAAGGGCGCGTGTCAGCGATAGCCCATACTGGAAATGGCCACCCATATATCGTCCGTCTATCGGTGAGACGAGATTCGAGACAGAGTCGTCGTTCAAGAAATATTCCGCATCAACCCATTGAACACGCACGACGCCAGCTCCTTTTGGCGAGATGGCTTCCCAATCCTAGAATTGGCTGTTTTATGAAGGCTTTTTGTAGCTACCAACCTCGCCTACTTTCAGCGCGTCTGCCAGCTTTTCTAGGGAGTCGCCGCTCATTCGGATCGTCACTCCATCTTCCACGATTGTTATCTAACGATGGTAAATAAAAAAAATATATAAAAACGATACCTGAAAGACGTCATCAGCAGATTTCAGTCCCGAGTCGAAAATGACAAATGACGCACCGGTCACTAAATCAAAAACCACTATTAAGCTTTCAATAAATTAAATTTTCTCTAGAATTAACTCCTTAGAAAACGTACCAGCTCTCGTGTGGCCGCGGGCAAGTAGTTGAGTCGTTAGCAGCCCTCCATCATCAACACAAACGAGCTGACTATCCGCTTCTGAGGCCAACCCACACTGCCAAGCCATCATTCGCGCATTCCCTTGCACTAGCGTCTTTATCTATAATTTGGAATCTACTACGCCGTCTCCAAAAACCCGACCTGTTCCCTGGCAGCTCGAGGAATTCGGATAGATGTCTCGGTACCCTTGAGCACCACCGTACTTCCAGAAATCTGCTCCATTCTGAAGGCCCATTCTCGGAAATCGGTGAACATCTAGAAATCAGTGACCAAAAAAATCCAAAATAATACCTTGATGACGGTATTGTTGGTATTTTTCCCAAAAACCGGTAGTAGGCCAACGCTGTTGATGACTGGGTATGGGTACCCTAAACGAGATTTGGAAGATTATTACCAAATTCAAGGGGCGCTATAGTTTTTCATAACAAAAAGTGCGACTCACAGCTCTGGTCAAGTCCCATTCGCAAGAGGAGTCGATTTGGGTGGGCGAGGGCCCAGACGAGCTCATCTGGATGAATGGAGATGCCGATGACGTATGGGCTCTGAGGCCACGTGATGCTGATCGTCTTTGCTTCCTGAAGGTCAAAATATTAGTTCAAGAAGGAGCCAAGCAATTCTTACCTTACGACTGGGCCGGTAGAAGAGTATATGTGTGGCACATTGTGACGATTGTGTGGGATCGGAGCAGGAATGAAGAGCGGGAAGGCGCCCGGTCATTGGCCGAATTCCGGAACCACCATCCTCCAAACAAGACTCGAACATCGAAAACAAAAAATTACAATTTTAATCAAACGAGGTCTACCTCGGCAAATCTTGCCAAGACGCCCAACGGAACTGAATAGTCGATGGGCTCCTCGTTGAGCTCCCAGATATAAACAATCTAAATAGTAAAATATAAATTATGAAATCCTCACAAACCTCATCAACCCCAATCGCAAAGAAACCCTTCGACGAGACCCCGCAGATTTCTGTATCCGGCTTTGTTGGGTCTGGAAAAGTTTCCAGGTAAAACGCCGTTGATCAGCAAATCGCTAAATCAAAAATTAACTTACGGTCAGCAAACTGTACAACGCATTGCAGATTACGCTTCAAGAAAACCTCCACTGATGATTTTTGCTTCAGGCGTTCAACTAAACGAATTGTATTTTCATAAAAAAAAACTTTAAAGTTCTTCTAAAGGTGCTTATTAATGGATGCAGCTTACTTAATTCGTCGTTTGTTTGCCGCGCGACCGTACCATCAGCGTTTCGCACGATGAATGGTCCACTCCATTCCGCTGGCAAATAGGAAGCCATCTCTTCTTCGATCTAAACAACGTTGCAGCCCATTCATTTGCGTACCTTTATTGATGCCAATTTCTGCGTCACGTGCACACGTTTCCGGCCAGATTTCTAAAATGCTCGTCAATCCCTGACAAGAGATCCGAACCTTTTTAGCTTTGAGAACCGTTTGCTCGGTGGCGTCACCGCTGTGCTCGCCCGGTCTGCTGCCGTCTCTAAAATGTTATTGAGCTTGTAAATAAACGAGGTTCACGGACCTAAAGACAACGGATCGTTTCCTCTCCACGCTCATGCCTTCAGGGTAGGAATTCGGTAATGAGGATGTACTAGGTCCAATCCCATCGCCTTCTTCAACGCCCTCCACGTCGATCGGTCTAGACTTTAGCACGGATCGCGTCCGCGTGGTTGATGGATTCTCTTCGAATTCGACTCTAAACAAGAAAGTCAATAAATTTTAGATGCCTAACAATTCTTGTCGGTCCTCATACGCCTTAATCCGGTCGAGCATTGATAAGCAGGGTTGGCAGACGCGTTGCTGAAAAAAAACAATAATTGTTTACAAATAATTCGATGCAAACCTTATTTTTCTTCTCGTCATCACCCAAATATGCCAATGATGCCTTCTCGTTGCAGCAAGCCGCACAGAGCACTCGTCCGCAAGCACGACAGTGGTGACGTCTGGAAAAATTCGGATTTTTATAACTTCCCAAAAAAAGCGAAATATTTTGATTCTTACCTGACTAGTAGTGTAAATTTTGCCGAGCATAGCATGCAGACCATACAGTCAGCATCGGGGATCCAGAACGGTTTGACCTGGAAAGACTTGAAAAAAATTCTTATACCCACCTTTCCCAACAAAAGTTCACTTTCCGTCAACAGCATCCGATCGGATTCCTGGTCCAAATCATGGACGACGGCGATTACTTGGTCCTGGAATCGAGGCATTGGGAAATGAGCCACTTTCAAAAACAACCGCCACTTCCATTTTAGACTTGCCATTAATGCAGAAGGCTATCAATCGGCGGAATAAAAAGAACTTCAAGTACACTAGTATTAGTAATTTCCGAGCACAAAATCGATACTAACCGTTCCGCGTGCCCAGCTGACTTGAATAGCCATAATTTCAGGCCTGGGAATTATTATTAGCTAATTTCTTATTTACGGCTGCCCGAAAATCGATCGGTGACTGGCTAATGGAACGGAAACGAGCGCGTGTGCCCGAGAATACGCCCCGTGAATAATACAAAAACAACCGGCCCACAACAAGGAAAAAAGTGGTTAGATCAATGAATTTTCTGAAAGGACTGAAAAGCTTTTTAAATTGATTGAGGCTTTGAGACAAACCTCAAAACGTCCCCGTACGGTCGGCATCGCTTCTGCACTATGTGCGGGTGAGCTGGGAGCTAAAATTCCATTATTAAAAATTTGATTTTATGCGCTCACCTTCAGCTACCTCAATCGCTTGTTCAGCGTGTGCCTCTTCCTCCTCTTCCTGCTCCTCTTCCTGGTTTTCTGAGCCTTCTGCCACGGCTTCGTCTCTTTCTTTAGCCTGTACCACCCCATGTCCAGCCTCCATCGCCAAAATAGTTTCTTTAATGTCATCAGTGCTTTTCTCGACCTTTGTTTCAATTTTTAGCTCTGATGTTTCAGCAGATCCCGAATTATCTGTCTGAGCTCTCTCTTCCTTTTCATTTCCTTTCGGAACTTCTTCTACGAAATCCTCAACCACAATGATATCCGTATCGGGAATCTCTTCCGGGAATCCGAAGGTAAGCACCCGTTTTGATTGCTTGTTTTTCTTAGGTTTCTCGAGTTCCAAGGGCTTTTCCGTCCTCCACTTCTCCGCAACTTCCTCATTTTGGGGTTGAGGCTTTTTGGGAGAGGTCTTTTCGGGGAAACCAAAAATATTCTTTTGCAAGCTTGAGGAAGGGGTTGTCTCAAATGTTTCGTTTTCGGTTTCCTTTAAACCCCCGAAGTCAAAGGCAGGGTCCGTTGGCTTTGAAACCTTTTCCGGAGGAGCTGAATCGCCGGGATCTTCGCTTCTTTTTCGGCTTCCTCTATTAGGCGTGGCCGGCTCTTCAATTGAATTTCGTTTCCCGGTCACTTCGGTGAGTGCCAATGACACCATCTCATCCACCAATTCCTCGATAGCTCGTACTTCTGGCGATTTTTGACAATTACCGAGTTTCGTAAAATTGTTGATCGAGGTGTCGATTAGATTTTCGACGAAGCCGCGAGCCCAAGTGGAGATGTATTCCTGAATGAATGTGGTTTAGGTGGCTTGAGAACTGTCTTTCCAAAAAAGTTCATCTGCTAAAGCCCTACTTTTTCCGACGATTCCAATACCAGCGAACACTCTTCATCGTCTTCAGCCCGGCTTATAATGCTAAAATAGGTTAGTTTCTAAAAAAAAGGTTAGAACCTACATTTCCGGAGCAGCAACCTGAACGGCTGGCACATCAGCATAATCACCAAAGGCTTCTTTTTGAGAGCTAGCTGCAGCTAGTGGTTGCGAAGGATCCACTTCCTCGGCTCCTTCATCTTTTTCCTCTATCCCTAAATACCGAAGGGCTTCCTCGAACTCATCTTCCTCGTTGGGAGCGTCATTTTTGCTGGCTGTGGTGAACAGCAAATTCTGAAAACTAAATGAAGGTTTATTTAGTTTACACAAACCTTTTTCCGAGGGGTTTCCACTGTTTCAAGAGGTATTTTAGAATCCACTGTAGCATCCTCACCCTCCGGATTTATATTTTCTTCTGAATCTTCCGGCTCCGGGCTCAAGCTTGGGCCTGGGCTGGGTGATTCCACCAGATCCCTTGCGCCGGGCGTCTCGATAACAAGCTCTTCTTCGACGTCCTGTAAGGTTTTTCCTTAAGTTTTTTCTTCAATCGGTCGAGTCACCTGGGTTCGTTCCAACAACTCAATCACCATTTCTTTAATTTGTTCTGATTGCTGGAAAGTTCGAGCTCGAATTGTCCTTGGCGTGCCAGATTCTGGGCGTTCTTCTGAAATACGTTTCATTGGCATACTACTGACACTGCCCAACGTGTACCTTTAAAAATAAGGTTCTGCTTACTCTCAATGCCTTCAAATTCCGGGTCCCCCTCCTCTGGTGTCCGGTTTCCACTGTAGGTTGGACTTAGCGACTCATCCGCCTTTTGAAATGGAGAAAACGAGGAAAAAGCGGAATGGTAGGTTGTGTTCGGGCTTCGGATCTCATCCTGAATGATATTTTTGGGAGGTTTTAAATTTTGTGGTGACTTTCGGGAGCTTTAACAAACCTCGGCTTCGTCCAAAAGATCGTCCATTGACGGCATGGCATCCATTTTTTACAAAATAAATAGATATTTTAAGCTTATTGTGGTATTTCGTGATCCATCCGGGGGTCAGTCTCGCTCACCAGTGGAAAATGACCGGCTGAGGCAGGCAGAGGATGCATGTCTCATGCGCGTAGTTAGTTGTCTGGTGTACTCTGGGTTCTCTTGCTTTCAAAACGGCATTGTTTGTTATGGTTTTGCCTTTATTTTGAGCTATTTATTTTCAGCACTCGCATAATCGATGTGGGAATAAAAAAATAGGGATGAAATTAAATGCAGTGTAGGACTAGAGATGCAGTTAATCTAGGAGAAAGGGCTTGAGATCTGTTTCGAGGTTTGAAGCGTCAAGTTGGCAAACAGAAAATACATATTACAAGGCAGCTAAATCATCAGCAGACAAAATAGCAAAACGATTTGCCTGGCCCTTAGCCAAGTGCATTGACCCATGTATCGACGGAGGGGAATGTCAACGCCTGGCCGGTCATGAAGCCCGCGTGGGCAAATGGGGCACCGTAGCCCTGGATGTGTTGAACGTCTCCACGTCGCCAGTTGACCCCGACGTGATCGTTGCCCGCGTAGTAGCCGCCCACCTGAGAAAGTAGGTTTTGTAGCAATTAGGGCCGGTTAAAGTATCTTTAGAATCTAGCATTTTGAAGTCATAACCCACCCCATACCCGTTGTCGATGTTCACTTCTCCGATGTGCTCCTTATCAAGCGGGACGGCGACAACGTTGTGCTGTCCGCCTTCAACGCCGAGGCTCTAAAAGGCTCCGTCTTCGATCCCCGGCTTGAGCATATACGTTGCTAGCAAATAGGCCAAAATGTCGACATTGTGATATTTTTCGACATTTCGGCATTATGAATTTAGCTATTATAAAAGTCGACATTTTTAGAGAACGTGCGGTGGGGCTCCCACTTTAAAAATCAATCCCACCTGAACCAATGGCACTGACCACCCATTCTTATACCCATACTTCCCTTCCTGCCAGTTTGCGCCGGCTTCTTGCTGTAGCGAGACGTAGTCACTAAAATAGCAGACTAGATGCTGTCCAGTGCCCACCTACCGTACTCCAATGTTCTGATTGAATCCTCCGCCCCACGATCCGAATGGGATCCCGACAAGATGGCCAGAGCCAATAGCGCCTTCCTCGTTCACGGGATAGTAGGGGATACCTTTCACATTCCATGAGCCCAGGTTTAGATTTACCTAAACTCCTGATATTAGCTTTATTCAAGGGGGCTTCATTGCGACGTGTACAGAATTCGGTACTGGACTATTAGCAGGGGGGGGGAGGGAGGAGCGAGCTAGCTCACCACACAAACTCTTACCCCGGAAGACCACGATTGAGCCATGTCACCAATCTCCGACGCTTTCGGCAAGAATGGGGCACAATCTCTAAAGTAGGCTTGACAGCGGCCGCGATTCGCCTCGATCGTCTTGGTTTTCACGCAATTCTAAAAAGGCAGATTCGATAACTTTCACACCCTCCAAAGTTTACCGCCTGGGCCATCGGGGCAATTTTTTTGCAGCGTCGCTGCAGCTCGATGGCCTGCTTGACGGTCAATTGGCGTTCGGGGTGTTGCTGAAGGAGTTGGTCGATTTCAAGGGGTTCAGGGTGAAACCCAGGACAATGAAGAAGGAACCTGCGACGCGTCGACAAACTACTCTACTATCTCTCCCGATCTCTATCTCTCTCTCTCTCGTTTTTTTTGCATAGTGTAACATCTCCGATTTTTTTAATTTTGTAGAATTGTAGAACCATGACAATTGTCGACACGCCCTGTCCTTATCCCTTTAACACACCGCTCTCTCATACGCAGCCAGCTGGGGCCGGATGTGGATATGGGTTCGATCTTCCCGATCGTCGATGCCGACTTGAGGGCGTTCAGACTAAAAAAATATTTGACGAAGTGCTGAACCAATTACCGGATCAACTCTCGGGCCTGTGGGCTTCACGACGAGGATTGCCGGTTTGTCCTGGGGCTTCTCCACCGGAACATCTCTCCGACGGGCCATGGCTGGTACGGGAGGTGGAATCGGGAGGAGTGGAGGCGGAAGTTCCAAGGTTCCATCTGAAAATCGAGCTTAAAATTCCTTTGGAACAAATCGATGTGGGATGTGCCAAGTATCAAGCAGTTTGAAGCAATTTTTAAAGTTCTCCTACCTCCACAAATCGACAGTCTTGAATTCACCTCACAGGCCCGCTTCATCAGCATCTCTTTCTGCAGAATTTCGTGATCATTGCCTTAAAGGGTCTTTAATTTTCGCGTTTTTGCTTACCATAACCACATCCAACTAAGAGGAATGGGAGAAGCAGCAGCTTCATGTCGCTACCGTACCCCATGATCTAGAAAAATAGCTTCAAGTAGATTTTGTATTTTAAAACTTCAAAAAACGACAAAGAATCTGTTCAAATCAAGCCGGGCGATCGGATTTCGAAAATTAATCTTCCCGAGAACCATTTTGTCGAAATGGATATTGAAAGTCAATTTCGTACTGCAATTTTTCAGCGGCGCTTTTTCTAGTGGTAGCTGGACACAGGTTTTTCGAAATTCAGATTTTAGAAAAGAGTGGTGCTCGAGAATATGACTTTTCGATAATATTTCTTCGGCTTTCGAGAAACAGCCTTTGTTTTTTAGAAAAAAAGATTTCTTGAGATTAGATTTTCGAAAATTTGCCTAAAAATCTGAAATCGAGTTCCCTAAAAAAATGTGATATGATGACGGACAAGAGGTTGACCTCGCGAGAATAGACTCTTCGCGTGAAAATGGGTACAGCGGCACCCGTGAGGGGAATACCATCAGAGACCAACGAAGCAATACTCCAGCATCACCCCCCCCCGCAGGCATCTTTTCACAAAAGAAAGGTGATATCGAAAAACATCACACACCTCCAATATCGATACGAACAGTGCGTGGAATGGAATGGGAAATGAAAACCCGTGCCGTCGCCACTTTTTCTCGGCCACAATAACGGATCTCTTCTTTTTGGGGTGCCGGAGATTTTGGAAGTCAGCGGGATCCCTGTTTTCGGGGGAGAGGGACATTTCGGGAAACACTCGAGATTGGGGAGATAAAAATATGAAACGTGAGTTCAAATGATCAAAACGGTTTTGGGAACGGAGGAAACAGGGGTGTTTTTCGTCTGAGAATTTTCTATTAGGAAAAACCTCAGTGTTGACCTTCAATTATGCCATTTCGTCAAGAAAAAGGTCGTATTCTTACTGACGACGCAACAGCAAATTTAAGAACTAAGAAGCCAAGAATTTTATGAAAAACTCAATTTTTAAAGATCACTTTTACTTGAAAACGAAAGGAAACCGGCCCAAATTACGCCAAATTGCCATTTTCGAAAAATAGGGCAAGAAGGCAAGAAATTGGACAAAAACCTTTCTTTATAACAATCATTAAGGCATTGAAGACAAAAATGCATCAGTATTGCCCTGATTTCCCCCAAAAAGCAAAAACGTAGGTCTTGGCCGGGATCGAACCGGCGACCTTCTGCGTGTGAAGCAGACGTGATAACCACTACACCACAAGACCACGATGACGACGGCCCTGGGAGGGCTCTTTGAGCCCAGAGCGTCAAATTCCGACCGACCGCACAACCCGAGCGGGTGTCCGATGAGTTTTATGCCTTTTGGCCTAGTTTTCGGAAACTATGTACGGAGAACAAAGAATCTACCAAGGACACTCGCGCCCACACCCAACAAAACCCATAAACACATCACACCCGCAGCGGCTTCATCTCAACCCCAAAAACAATGTGCTGCTATGGCGAGAGAAGAAAGAGGTTGTTTATTTGACCGCAGCCGAGATTTTACTATTTTTTGGGCTCTTTCACATTACCGAGGGGGCATCATTTTTTTTACTACACGTCCGGAAATGCCTAGTAATAACAACTGTTTTATAGTGTTTTTAATAAAAATTAGCTATATTTCAGGTGGAAAACTATCTAAAAAAATTGGAAAATTTGAATTCTGGGCCAAAAATCGATATGTTGCATTTTTTATGAAAATTTCACAGTTCTTCGTTTAGAACTTTGATTGATTTCGTTGGCCTCCTTCGCTATTTTTTCGGTGCCAGGCCACAGTATACTCACCATTTTTGTATTCTTTATTCCATTAAAATAGCATATTGACTAGCTTCGAAGGGTGTTCAATCCAGGAATGATCGGGGCGTGTGTAATCGGATATGTACAACTACATTTTAAGCGATGATTAAAGAGAGAAAAGACAAGAATTAGCTACCATAGTGTCGATATTCTGATGCACGCGGGGTGAGCACCGTTTTTTGGGGGGATTTTGTGTTTCAATGGTAGGATCGCGTGGTAAAATACTGTTTTTGTGAGGAAAAGGTCAAGATTTAGAGTCTAGAAGAGCAGAAAGGCAACGAGGGCCGGGAATGAAATAAATAGGTGGCGTAGGGAAGAGCTGGCGATTTCCGGGTTTTGCACGTCTTCGGACGATTCGGTAGCGATGGTATCTGTAAATGGAGCATAAATTATCCTGAGATTTGGGTTTATGCATAGGCGGAGGCGTAGACAGCCCTACGTTAATGCTAACTCTAACATACCGCTAGGCTGAGCCGGCTGATCACGGTGAAGCGCCGGGTCGATGTTGCCACTGGTCGGCACCATTTGCATTGGGGTCGTCGAAATAATCTTCAAATTTAAAGTATTTTTATTACGGTTTACATACTTTTTCACTAAATTAAGCCTTAAAACCAACCTTGACAGTAGTGCTGGCTGTGGTAACCGCTACAGTCGCGATTTCCGAAACGTTCTCGGCAAGGCCTCCCGTCTCATCGAACATTGTCGTCTCCTGGACCGCGTCAGCCGTCACATTCGCTTCTTCGGCGTCTTCTTGAGCTGAAAAATGGATTTATAACTTCTTTTAAACCTAGCTCCTTACTTATAAAAATATTTTTACTGATCAAAGGATACGGTAGGATGTGAAAATCACCCACCTGCAGCCACGTCGGGCATCGGCTGATCGTTGGGCACCGATTCGGAGGGCCCATCCAGACTTCCCAACGCCAGAGCTGCAAAAGATTGATTCTCGGTTTCTACGATTTGAAGTGCAAAACCTATTTTAAGATCTTGTCATGTGTAAAAATGGTATAATTCCTACCAAACAACCCGCAGAAGAACAACCACCGCATCTCTGAAAAAAATTCATAAAAAGTTTTTATAAAAAGTAAAAGTTGTTCTATAAAATTGAGAAATGGCTACAGTAGTCCGGAATGAGAAACTGCATGAGCCAAACAAGGAAAAATGAGGGCTGGTGACTTGATGGAGGGGGGGCAGGGATGAGCGGATGAGGCGGATCAGGAGGATGGGATGGGCCCCGGAGGGCATTTTCTTGAATAATCGAAAATACTTGTGTCGTTGAGGGGCTTGTGCTGTCGTGAAATAAGTTGTAGTGTGTGATCACTGTAGAGCGTGAGAAGGGTTTTTGGGAAAATTGCGGTAACGAAGCTAGTGCACATGAGAAAAGGCCGGCCTTTTAATACACGCCATTCCAAGCGCATTTTTGGAGTCGTATTGAAAATTAAAATTGAGCTCGAGATTCTGAGCTGGAGATTAAACTTAACAAAGATAAAGCTGAGCATAAGCTTGCTTATACGGCCACCTAACTTTACGGGAGCTTCGCGTAACCTCTTACCGACAAGCCAGCCTCACCCCCCCCCCTCAACTGCACAAGCACTGAAATACCTGGCTCGATTCTACCGTAACTGGACCGCTAGAAATCTGACGAAATCCCCCGACTCTGATCAATGCCATTAAAAAAAGCGTGACCCAAGTGGATCCGAAATTGCTGGAGGTAGAGAGAGGGCCGTGTGCGGGGGTCCCTCTAGGCTCCGTCATCCCGAATTCTCAGCCGGCTCAAATTTCTGCCCCCGACCCCGGGTCTGCGCTGCGCGTTCCTTCGTTTTTCCATCAACCGAATCGGGCCCAGGGCAAATAGTGCAGGGGGCAAGAGTGAGGCAGCGGTTTTTGACGCTGGTTTTTGTTCCGCCTAATTGCTGCTGAACATCCCGGGGATCGGGGTGATCGGCTGGAAGTTAGAAAGATTGGGGTATCGAAGGTCCTTTAATGGTGGTAGCAATAATTAGACAGGAAGAAAAACTGCCTAAAAACGTCGAAAATCTCAAAGACTTAAAATTTTGCTCGAAAAATAGATATTTTTCCATAAAAAATTTGTAGGTTTTCGCTGCTGAGAAATGCTAAAAGACGGCTGGAACGGGCTATTAAAATCTGAAAAATTGAGCGTATGGAAGTTCATTCCCCCGATCAAGCCCAAGCTCCCAAAATTGAAGCAAAACTTTGAATCCTAGGATACAATCTTATTCAAAATCCCGGAAATCCTCCGCAATTTGGTTAGGTGTCCGAGTACATAATCTGGAGCGAATCCTAGGAAATGCATAACTTCTTCAAGCCGACAACAGTGCGAAGATGTCCACCCTGACCGTCGATCCGCCAGCTGGAGCCGTACCCGCCGCCGGCGGCAAGACCACCCACACCCTGGCCAACGCCGGAGCCGCCAAGGTCGTCTTCAAGGTATCCATTGAAATCCCACCAAAATTATCCCAATTCCCAGGTGAAATCGTCGAACAACACCGAGTACCGCCTGCAGCCCGTCTTCGGGTTCGTCGACCCCGGCGGCCAGGCCCCCGTTGAGGTCACCCGCCTCGCCGGCCCGCCCAAGGAGGACAAGCTGGTGATCGAGTACGGCGATGCCCCCGCCGACGCCGCCACCCCGCAGGACGCGTTCAAGGGCGTCGCCGCGCCGCAGAAGCTCACCGTGCCCATCAAGGCCGAGTAGAAGCCGCAGCAACACCTGAAGACGAGCCCCACCACCACCACCCAGAAAAGCCTCTATTCTTGGCCCGTTGTGTAACCCTATCGTTAGACAAAGCGCAGCCCATTGTAATAAACCGTTATGTGTATCGGGTCGTACATTGAAAGATATGGAAATTGTATGGAGGAAGGAGTTTTACAGAGAATTGTTTGTTGCGAGGGACAGAAAATGACAAAATACAGAGGGTAGCTGCTCTTGTTCAAAGCCACTACAAAGCTGATTTGATTTGACGAGATGTGTTCGCATTCAAAACCAAACTTGCCTGAAAACCCGACAATCACGTCCGAGCCGGTTTTAGCGCAGAAACATAAAAAAGCACAATTTGATTTTGATGCAATAAATTAGAGATGTGAATAGATCCGGAAGCTAAATGATATCCTCCGAATGTTTTTGTTTGTAAAGGGTTTGTTTTGAATCAGCACAAAAATCAAGTAGATGCTGATAGAAATTGTGAATTTGAGCCACGATCAAGCCAAGGAATTCCTAAAGTTCCTTACGGCTCCAAGATGAAGAGGTACTGACGGGAAAAGCGTGGGCCGGGAGCGGAATCACGGCAAAGCGTCACGATCAAACCGGGCGCGTGCCCGATTCTTGATCTGGCACCTCGGCGCGAATAGGGCACCCACACCACCCGGCATCCCGGCTCAAGACAGGCCCGGGCATGAAAAGTGCTGCTTGGCACGGCTGGGTGGTTGCTGCCTGCTAACGGGGGGACGAACGGGTCCACCACCACGAACACACAGTCGCCCCTCACTATCGGAGGGGGCCCCCATGGCCACCACCACCACCAGCAAACACGATATCACATCAGCCCCTCAATCATCATGCGCACGCGCACCGCTTAGCGGCAAACAGGCGGAAAACACGGAAAACATGGCTCTCACACACTGCGGCGCGCGCGTTTTCGGCTCGCTACGGGGGGCGCTAGGAAAAAGCGGGTGGTGGCCATCTTTTTTGTTGATAGCTTAAAAATCTACCGAAATCTTTCAACGTTTGCAACGCTTTTCAACCCTATCTTTTTAAAGAAATTCTGGCTTCCGGGTAGGCTCCGTACACCAATTTGTATCGAACAATTAGCGCTAATATCAAAATTGGAAACGTTGGCTCAAAATATCAGACACAAAATTTTGTGACGTGTTTCAATTAATGAAAAAGTCTACGCACTCGATTTTAATTACATAATGTCACCGCAAACCAAGTACCGCCAAAAAAGGGTGGATAAGTAGCCGGGCGAGGTAGAGGAAAATCGGCTTTCGGGGGGTCTAGTAGTGGGGTAATCCCAGCTCGGTGGCGCCCCTACGATTAACGGATCCCACCGACCAGCGCGAGGAGCCGAAAGCGGAAAATAAGTTGAGAAAAGTGTTTCTTCAAGAAAGTGACTCACCACAAAGAATGGAAAACTACCAAGGACAATAGAATGACCCTTAGGATGGCAACGTTGAAACCCGGAGATTGAATAAGCAGCTTGAAGCTACCTATCCGAAGGATTGGGTAAAGGGATTGAGCGTAACAAAGGCATAAAAACTTTTTAATCCAAACAGAGGGCTTACGACAGGTTGGATGTGGCGAAGTAGCACACACACACGCATGAGCCGGGGGCGCGAGTCGATTGAGGGCCGACCCCAGAGGCATAGCAGCCGAGACCGGTCCCTCGGCGCGCGGAGCACGCGCGTCAGGGCTGCGCGCTGTCACCTCAAAACGGTTGGCACCTTCGCGCGCACACAAATAACTCCTGAATGTGATACGTGTCCGCTCCACCGCATGCATTTCCACAGATGCGAGCGCGGCCAAAAGCCTAGTTAGTTCGCTGACCACCCGTCAAATTGTGGTACCGGAAGACATGTCACTGTGTCAACCCCAGACTACATTTCCATCATATCAATTTATTCTTATGCAATTCACAAAGCATTCTGCTCAAAATCACAAGAAACTGTAATTCAAAATCACAAGGAAAGAACATCACAAATTATGCAAAAGGGGCGCTAATAAAGTGATTGACCGGTTTCGTTGGGGGGCTGTTGGGGGGAAGAGATGTTGGTAGGTAAGTTGAGAGACCCGTGAAAGAGTTCCTTAGCGGAAGAAAGCGTCTGAGAATGGGTCGGCGTTTTGCGCAGGGAACGGAGCCGCGGCGACGACCGGGCGAGACGGAAGCGGAGGAGCCGGCCCCAAAGCGTTCAAGGGCAACTGCAAAAGGATGATAATAAAGGAGGACCCGAATAATAAGATTAACAAGAAGTCATTTATAGGTGTCATTGGACTTTCACGATGTTATAGAGCTCATTGGATATAACTTCAAATCCTAACTAAGCCCCGACCTGTCAAGTAATGAAAAGAACTGAACGATAACTGCCACCTGACGGACCATTTTGGCTCAGCTTTGCTCATTTTTGACCCCCACCTAACAAAATTTGAACTTTGCAAAACTTAAAAAAATTGTTCCGAATTTCAGTATTTACACAACTGGGCTATATTGCCTCGCAAATCCCATCATCACCGAGAAACTACTTCTTGTAAGAACACAGCTGCAGTAAACTTACCTTCGGCGGGTTGATGATATGTTCAAAGGGGTTCTTCTTGGCCTCGTTTGGTCGGCCTCCGACGAGCGAGTCCATGTCCACCAGCTTGGAGAAGGCGTCTTCCAGGGACGTCACTTTTCGTGGGCCGTCAAAGGACAACTTGCGCGAATCGTTGCCGAGGCTAGAAGAAAACATATTATTCAGTTGATAAGAAAACAGCATACCTATCAAAATTGGCGAATGGCTGTGGCTGGAGCGGCGCCGTGTTCTCGTTAACGCCCCAGTTCACGGAAGATTGCGATTGAAAACTGCCGACGGGGGCCCCATTTGGCCCTCGCATGCCGTTCATATCGAAGGGATCGGACGAGGTGGCCAGGTCAGCAAACGGGTTCGTCGTCTAAACAAAAAATAGAAAAATGATTTTAAAAATGCGGTCACGCATCGTAAAAAATGTATCAAAAAGGACCCACCGAGAATGTCGGAATCGGAGCGGTCATCGGCGGAATCACTTGCTGCATCCCCCATTGCTGTTGCAGCGGAATCTGCTGGAAGGCGGCGGCTTGTCCTGGCGACGTGTAAGGTGTGTGGAAAACAGAATTATGTTGAGCCGATTGAGCCGAGCCGAATTGCTGAGACTGAAAAAAGCAGAATAATCGCGAAAAAATATCAAGATCAAGAAAGGAAGCCGAAGATCGGCTCAACATACCTGGTTCGTCGAGTTGAAGCTGTCAGCGAACGGGTCGACACGCTGTGGAGTCTGGTTGACGAACGGTGCGGCGCCGAACGGGTCAGCAAATGCTCCATTGGTAGGATGCTGTTCCCCGGGCCACTCATCTCCAGGAACCACCGGAATGTTTGCCAGCTGATTGAGCCCCTGCTCAATATTTTGGCATTCAGTCTCGAGATCGAGAAGATCGGCAACCAGAACACCATTCTCCGAACGCACGCCCTCCTGGTTCACCTGAGACAACAAAGTAAGGCATGAATGGGTCAAAATCCTAACCTGGTTATCCCCTTCGGCGTTCTTCTTGACCTGTTCAATTTGTTTTTTCTTCATTTCGAAGACGATTTGGAACATGTCTCGGATGGAGAGCACGGCGTGGTCAGCGGTCTGCAAAATACCCATTAGTTCATCCCAAAGACTTAATAAACCTAATTTTCAAAAGCTTGCCTGAGCTGTCTTGATGCCATAGAACTTGTAGCTGCCGGCAGCTTCACCAAAAACGAAGCCGAATGCCCGAGCATCCGTGGTGTCGCGGGCGATGAACGAAATTCGGGACACCGGGAAGTTGTAGAGGGTCGCCTGGCTCTTTTCATCGACAATCTTGATGCCTTCGATGTTGATGTAGAGAATGATACGCTGCTTGTGGGTGCCGGCGGCTTTCACCGCGGCCTTGGCCTGGCGCATAGCCTCCGCACACATGACATCGCCGCGGGCTCCTACACGAAAACAGTGAGGAAAAAAATCAAATAAACTAACCTTCCACGTCGCGGATGCCGATCAATTTTCCCTTGTACTGGACACCTTGCCCTTGAAAACGGAACGGGTCTTGGCTGGCGTTAGCTAAAGATAATGATTAGAAAAGGGCGTCATACAGTCGCTTTTAACGGCTAGCAAGGCAAAAATAGCTTATAAGACAGGAAAAGCCGATCGATAAATTGCTCACATTTCTTTGCCGATGAACGCTTCAACATTGCCAATCGACTCTTCGGAGAACCTGGTTGCTTGCCGTCGACCGCCGTCTGTTCTCCGTCCACCGGCGACTCTTTCATCTTTTGCGCCATTCTGGAAAAAGAAATATTATATCGTGATATAAATGATGAAACCGAGAAAAATATATTGAAACTGGCAAGAGCAAGAACATAGCGGGAGCCGAATGGATGAACAGACAAACAAAGGCATATTACCAGTGGCGGTGGCGACCACCTGGCGAGCGCGCTTCAATGACTCAGCATCGGACATATGGATCTGCCTGTATCCCCCCAACAATCGGGACACGGCCCAGCGCCAAGTGGGATTGGTTGAGTGGATTGTGCGCGAGGTCATGTGTAAATCACGGGCTTGCCGAGGTGATAAATCCCGGGGCACGAAAGGCCTTGTCAGTCAAAAAAACAATGTTGTGGGAAATCAAAACATTAATTGACGCCATAAAATTTCTAGCAAGTCCAACCGTCGGGGGAAAGTATAAAATACTACGCCAAATGACAAATCGACGAGCCGTGTGGGCAGGCGCATCGAGTAGACGCTTTTCTAGCGGGCCAGTTTATAAACAAGGGGGCGTATGAGCACACGCGCGATATGAGTGGTCGGATGTGTAATAGGAGTACCTGGAAGGTTTATATAGGACCAACGGGGCAAAACAAATCATGTGTCCAGAGCCCCCAAACCATTTGAGGAGACGTTTAGGTTCAAGGAAACGTATTGGAAAAATTCGTGAGCAATTTGGGAAGCTAACAAAACAAATCGGTTGATGTACAGGAATCAAAAGTTTTTAAATCTAGGTAAATCGCCAATGGAAAACCCAAAACACCTAAGCGAATACATATCGTGGAGAGGGGAAATGATCCGCGACCGTGGATAGGCAAGCGAAAGTGCCGGCTTTTGGCAGCACGAGAACCGGATGGCTAGGTGGAGATGGGGAGGCTGGAGCGTCACCGCCAAATAATCTGATGAATACCTAGGGATATTTCAATTCCGAGCCTCTGATCACCACAGGGGAAGGCGGAAATTTGTAAACGAGCGCCGCTGTAATGCCGGCCCACAACGCTCACGTGAAGGAGAGCCATTGATCCGGGTGATCAGCTGCTTGAAATGTGATCGCAAGAATGAGCAGTGAGACCCCGAGCGCAGAAAATAACTGAAATCTAGATCAGGCTCAAGTCAGCTAGTTCAAAAAATACGCCTAGGCGTTCATTTACGCGAGTGGGTGAGCAAATAGAAAATAAAAAAAGTGGAGCGTAGCAAAGCGCAGCTGGCCGAGTTTTTACTGCCATCGAGGGGCACTTGAAGGCTTGGCACGCCGGGCTTTTCGAAAGCAATATTGGGGCCAATAAGTAACAAAAAGCTTCCTGGTGTGTAGTAAGAATAGAAGAACGAGAAAATGGAATGGATAGGGGTGCGGCAGACCAGTCGTGGCTGTATTTGCTGTAGGCGAGAGGGACGGAAGCGACATGCACACGCAGCTGTAGTCCCGCGAGAGGCATCCACAAAGTAGTCGAAAAATGAGCAAAAACTTGGGGAACAGACGAGCCACAGCTGGGCGCGCTCACAATTGCGGCGAATCCAAGGGGTGAAAGCGAAACGGAAGGACGAGAAACGCGGCGTGGACAGAATAAAAAAAATTGAGAGAACGCGGAGTAAAAAACAGCAGAATAAATCTGCCAGTGACCTATCGGGCACCTTGAAAGGGGAAGAAAGGCCGCGAAATAGCCGCAAGGCCGATAGAGTTGCGCGTCTATAGGTGCTTGCCGCACTAATGAAAAACATTACCATAGAGCAAAAGTATAGTAACCCCCCCCCCCCCCGCGGCCCTCCCGGGGGGTAATAAATCAACATCCCATACACCGAAATCCCGAAATCCCGAAACGCCCCGGCTCCCGGCCCCCTCCCCCGGTCCTGGGGCCCCGCAGCGATCCGGCGGGCCGGCCGGGCGGCGGGGCGGGCGCACGGACATTAGAAATTTATATATACTCTGAATTTAAATTCTTTTATTAATAGCAATTTAATTGGAAGCCCAGATAAATTTGCCAAGCATTCGGTGAGTCAGTCAGCTGCGTCAATCGATGAACAGCCAGCCGAAACGGGCCGACCGAGGCTTGAGTGCTTGGGTGTCGGCCTAGGGATAGTCCAGTTCTTCCAGGCCGGTCCCAGCAGCAGCAGCCCTTGTCACTCTGATATACAGCCATTCAACACAAATGTGCCCGTGGTTTTTTTGAGTGTTCAGTGAGCGAGTGCTGCGCGGGGAAAGCCAGCTGATTGATCAGCAAGAGCCGATCGATGCGGTAAAGCTCAAGCCGGGCGAGTCAAAAGCTTATCGAAGATGTTCAAAGCAGGAAATGCAAGGAAGTGGGATACGAGGTCATCGAGAGTCCCTCCCCCGATTCGGCGTCCAAACTGGAGCCGTTCCCCCCGCAGAAAAACTGCAAAGAATCGCCCCGGCGGGGAGGGAAATCGGAGAGGGGTTCAACGGCCCAGAGACGCATCCGCATTCGGAAATTCCCCAGAAGAGCGAAAGTGGGGCAAATTTAAGCTAAAGCCAAAACGCTCGAGCAAAGTTGCGAGCCTGGAGCCGGGCTAAAAGTGGCGAGACACTGAGTGTTCAGCCGCGAAAAAATAACGGGTTCTTCCCATTGTCGGCGGCACGGTTATCAAGGGCGGGCTGATAAAGCGAAGTCATATGGGCGGCGGTGACCTTGTCTTTTCATTCGCCCCACTCATTGCCCTGGAAATTCGCGCAGGGTCAACTCGACTAGCGATCCTACTGGTCCCCCGTGAAAAGGCGGGCAATCGTGGAAGAGAGAGAGGACCCAGCTGACAGGCGCATGATCGTACGTGGACGCCTAGATCAACGTACTTTGGGACGTGAAACGCGATACGCTCCGAATACGAGAATAGACATGATACGCCTGACAAGTTTTCAATGCAAATGCATAGTTTTAGTTAGGGGAAACTCAAAGTATAATAACGAATTAGTCAAAGAAAGTTGGGCACTGGACTTTTAGCAGGGGAAAATAACTAATTTTCGTTTTTGGGTTTATACCTGCCTGTTAATAGCCAATAGTCGATTTTTATAATGTTTTTAGTAGTTTTTGAACGCCAAAAAGGTACAAAAAATATTTTGAAAATTTTTATTTTTTCGGATATTTTGGATACAGTTTTCGAACCCAAAGTAAAACATTTCAAAAAATAGTATCAGTTCTTAGGATCTTTTTGTATCTAAAAACATTGTAAACAGCTATAAAAATGCTGTATATTTTATATAGGGCCGTACAGGAGAACTAGGAAAAATTTCTGAACCCCTAACCCCCCCCGCTAACATTCCAGAACCAAAAAGTATATGAAAAGTCAATTCTATTCGCCCGCCACTGCAGCGATTGTATAGCTGAATATACTCATCACATGATCGCATATTTCATAGTTGTTTGGCGCGTAAACTGTACGATCAAAATAGGTGATGCGCCCCAAAAGGGGCGAGAGAGCTATCAAAAGCCGTCCCCCGGCGTTCGGCCAGTCACACCAACAAAGCGCGTCCGGTCGGCCAGGGGATTCCCCCAAATTCCCAAAAATTCGCGGGCATTGTCTGCGGGGCGGTCTGCGTCGGCACGGTTGCACGGCAACAATGGCGCCTCGTGTAAAAAGCTTGAGACCATTTTTCATCTGCGAATTTTTTAAAGAGTACAGTGTCGAAAAAGGGTAGATTCTTTTACGTTCCGTCGACTCCGGGGCGTACAGATTTGTCCCAATTGCTGGGGCGGGGGAATAATCGTCTCGTTGTTTGTGTGTGTGTTCGGGAACTGGACCTGTCCACCCTTCCTCCCTTCCCTTCACCTAAAGCGAATGGATGGTGGTGGTGTGGCGGGGGTCTCCAAACTCGTCACACACATACGCCGGACGCTGGGGGTCAGCGCGCAAACAGACCCGAAAGTAGTTTGGCAAATTACGATTCGGTGGGAGCAGCAGTGAAGCTACTGGCGGTTTGAACTATGAAAGTAAGTGACCGTTCGTTGGTTTTCGAAATTTTGAAGCTTTTCTGGATGTCATTTTCAACATGGAGCCGTTTTAGGTGATCCTGGAATTTTGTAAAGTGACGTAGCTCATTCGGTAGAGCTTGGAATTCTCGAGAAGTGTCTTTTACCCAAAAGCTGCTGACCTAAGCTAAGCTCAAGAAAAAGGATATCAAAGGTCAAATTTCCTTAGGATCGAGAAAAAATGGGCAAAATTGGCGCTCTCAGAGGGATTAATTTTTCCACGACAGTTATCGTTCAGAATGCGTCATTCCACATAGCAAAAATTCATTATCACTTAAAAACGACTCCTTTTCAGAATAAAGGCAATGAACCCAGGCCCAAAGACCATGGGACTAGCAGACACCACTAGCACCACTAGCTCCACTAGAAAGTCGTCATTTTCGGCAAGGCAATTGAGAGCAGACATCGACGGCGTAATGGAATTGATGAAATCGGCGGTGATGGTGGGGGTGGAAAGACAAGAAAAAGGCATAAGATGGGGATTGTAGTGGTTGATGGCGAGCTGGGGATAGATAGGGACAAATCGCTATAAATGGCTGACTGGGGGGTCATCTCGATTGGAACGCGAGGTGGAAGATGAAGGGAATAGATGGCGGTCGGAGGATGGGAATAGAAGAATGGTTAATGAGGGTAATTTAGCTAAAATTTGTGGTGGCGCTGTTGATTTTGGGTCAGAATTTGTCTGACTGGATTTTTTAGAACTTTTGAGATCTACAAGTTAGCTGAATCAGTCGCTAGCATTCAAATCGTATGGCGCGACGAGAATTTGAATCCAAAACCGGCGGGTGGAGGCAAAGAAGAGTCAGGAGGTGAGGGGAGGTGTGGGAACCGGTCGGGTTTGGCATTGGCAGAAGCCCGGCCGAGGGGTCACAGACACCCTTGCCTTACACAGAAAGACGCAGCTTTACGCGAGCGCGCCGCGCACCAAATAGAAAACGACAAGCAAAAGCGGGGAGGGGGAAAGTTGTCGCGCGGGTGGGCTTGGCGCGTAGAGACAAGGGTTGATCGCCCGTCGGGCTTTTGTTACGCCATCAGGC